CCCACATTGGGCTCCCTGCTCTGCTGGGAGCCTGCTTCTCCCTCTCCCTCTGCCTATCTCTCTCTCTCGGTCTCTCATGAATAAATAAATAAAATCTTAAAAAAAAAAGAATGTTATAGGAACATTATGATCTTAGAAACATTAGCTATCCACTTTTAAATGGAAATTTCTTAAGAACCTGCAGGAAGATATGATGAAATTTCATTAGTATACAATGAAATGAGTAAATATTATGAATAAATTTGCCACATAATTGGTAATGTTAAGAACACTCTTAATAGGACAAATTCACAGTAAGCCTACTTCAAACAAATTTAAGTGTCAAATATATATTTTAAAACTCCCTAACAAAAATATAAGTGCATCTTAAGAAAAAGAGCAGGCTACTAAGAGTGCTTAAAATACGCCTCACATCTATTTCTCATCATCATATCTATTACTGAGGAGCAGAGTTAACTTGGAATGTAAAATTATTTGAGGGGGATTATATCATTAATATAAAAATATTCTTTACTATCACAGGACACAGAAAAATCATGTAGCTAACACCTAGGTATTACAGCTTAATGGCTTAGAACTGTGATTATTTGTGCCAAATCCCAGCTCTGCCACTTCAAGGTCTCAGAAAATAGACAAATCCGTCAATAATTTCTGAAAGGTAAGTTTTTACGTTTAGAGTAGGAATATATGTAGGAGAACTCTGAACAGAATTTTAGTAGTAAAACTGAATAAAGGATTTAAGATTGGTCCGAAGGGAAATTCACAATAAATGTTGTAACAGAGGCATTATAACAAAAAGGAACAGAAAGCCCTGTTAAGAGGATACTGCTGACACAGGCAACGCTGATAAGAGGGAAGAAAACAAAATGCGAGTGAGCAGTGGTGACATTTCAGTCGCAAGTCTCCAGAGAGATTAAGATGAAATACATTAAAAAAAAAAAAAGAAAAAGATGGGGTAAGACTTTACAATCCCTTCAATCATTCAATCATATCTGGCAAAAAGCTACCACTGAGATCAGTTTTCAATCTGTCTCTCACTTACTGGACCTAAACAATAAAAGACGAACCGGAGTGTTTTTAAAAATGAAATTAAAAATAAGCACCTGTGATTTTTAATGTATTACTTAACTGAATCTGACTCTTTGAATTGAGAATTATTACCCAAAGATGTACCACTGCAAGTGCTGCATGGGGAGTTCAGGCGAGTGAGCCCCTAAATCACCCAAAACAACAGTCACTGTATCGCTTCTCAGCCTTTTGGCTAAGATCAAGTGCAGTCACTGTAAATACACCTTTGGTTCATTACCTAAGAAGTCTCTGCCATCTACGTTTGTTGCAATTTAAATGACAGGCTCTATTTTCACACATTGCCTAAAGACTTATCAGAGCCAAAAAGGAAGACAGCATTCCAGCTGCTGGAGGCAGCATGATTTAAAAGGAACAAGGCTTCAGAAACAGATGTGATTCTCATGTCAGCTTCACCACAGACCACTTGGGGGGGACGTGGTAAAGTTACACTTTATAAGGTCTTATCTTCTTCCTTTTCAAAGATATCGTACATACACACAAAACTATGTAAACCAGCCTGCACACAAAAAAATTGTGCCTGACACAGGAAAACTGTGGAGCTAACATCTAGGTAGAAATACCCTATGATGGCATAGGAGTGTGATGACTGTGTCAAATCTCAGCTCCACCACCCGCTTAGCTGTATGACCCTGAACCAGTTATTTAATCCCTCTAAGCCCCAATTTTATTTTCCATACAAACTATGACTATTAAAAGGTTTTACAAGATGCAAAGAACAATAAACACAAGAAATGTTTGCTGTGACCTTAAGGAAGAAGAACAAAGCTGGAGGTATCACACTTCCAGATTTCAAGATATACTGCAAAGCTGTGGTAACCAAAACGGATGGTACCGGCACAAAAACACACACAGAGATCAACAGAACAGAAGAGAGAGCCCAGAGAGAAACCCACGCTTATATGGTCAATTAATCTACGACAAAGGAGGCAAGAACAGACAATGGGGAATAGACAGTGTCTTCAGTAAATATGGAGACAAGCAAGCTGGACAGCAACATGCAGAAGAATGAAAGTGGACCACTTTCTTAGACCACACACAAAATTAAACTCAAAACGCATTAAAGACCTAAATGTGAAACATGAAACCATAAAATTTCTAGAAGAAAACACAGCCAGTAAACTTCTTTGACATCAGCCATGGCAATATTTTTTTTACATGTGTCTCTTCACGCAAGGGAAACAAAAGCAAAAATAAACTACTGGGCTCCCTGTCCAGGGGGGAGTCTGCTGCTCTCTCTCTGCCCATCTCTCTCTCTACCTCTGCCCCTAACTCTGCTCATGCTCTCTCGTTCACTCGCTCTCTCTCAAAATAAAAAAAATCTTTTTTTCAATTAATTAATTATTGGAAACAAGGCAGGATGTTTGGGTTTATGTGTCCTACTTAACATCATATTAAAAGTCCTACTCAGTGCAATAGGGCAAATAAAAACAATAAAAAGCTGAACAAAACAAATAAAAGCTGAACAGACTGGAAAAGAAGAAATGAACTGTCTCTATTCATGGACAACATAACTATCTATAAAGAAAATCACAAGGAATCCACAAAAAAACTGCTATGACTAATTAACAAGTTTCCCAAGGTCATAGAATACAAGGTCAATATACAAAAATCAATTGTGCTTCTACATATTAGCAATAAACAATTAAAAACCAAAATTTTAAAAAGAGTACCATTTACAACAACTCCAAAAACAAGAAATTTTTAGGCACAAGTCTAACAAATTATGTGCAGGATCTGTATGCTGAAAAATGAACAAAACTGATATAAGAAATCAAAGAGAACCTAAATAAATGGAGAGTTAACTCAATACTCAGTACTGCTAAGAAGCCATTTCTCCCCAAAATGATCTATAAGTTAAACATAATCTCAATCAAACTCCCAGCCGTATTTTTTTGTAGATCTAGAAAAGCTGCTTTTCAAATTTATATGAAAAGTCAAAGAAACTAGAATACGCAAAACAATTATGAAAAAAGACCCAAAGTTAGCAGACTTACAATACCTGATTTGAAGGCTTACTACAAAGGTACAGTAATTAAGGAAGTAGGATATTGGCATAGACACAGAGCTCAATGGAACCAAACACAAGAGTCCAGACAAATACATCAAATGATTTTTGACAAAGGGGCCAAGGCAATACACTGACAAAAGGATGTTATCAACAAATTATGCTGCACGTGTATAAATGAACATCTAAAATGAACATCTCTATGCAGAAAAAAAGGAAACTTAATCTGCACCTTACACAAAATTACTCAAAATGGATCTTAGAGCTAAATGTAAAACACAAACCTTTAAAAAAGAAGAAAACAAAAGAGAAAATCTTCATGACATTGCATTAGGCTATAAATTCTTAAGATACAAAACCAAAAGCAGGATCCATAAAAGAAATTAACTGATAAGTCAAACTTCATCAGAATTAAAAGCTTTTATTCTGCAAAAGCCACTGTCAAGAAAATAAAAAGGAAAGCTATGGACGAGGAGAAAATATCTGCAAACCCCACTGGAGAAAGGACACATGCCCAGAAGATATAAAGAACTCAAAAAGTCTGGGCGCCTGGCTGACTCAGTCATTAAGCATCTGCCTTCAGCTCAGGTCATGATCCCGGGGTCCTGGGATCGAGCCCCACGTCGGGCTCCCTGCTCTGCGGGAAGCCTGCTTCTCCCTCTCCCACTCCCCCTGCTTGTGTTCCCTCTCTCGCTGTGTCTCTCTCTCTGTCAAATAAATAAAAACTTTAAAAAAAAAAAAAAAGAACTCAAAGGGTCAACAGAAGGAAAACAAACACCCTCCCCACATTTTAACAACCCAGAACAAAAACATTCCCATTCATTTCCATATGCTAGGATTTACACCTGAGACCATCCTTTAGATTACTATCATGGAACTTCCTTATCTGTCATAGTGTGGCAATAACAGGCAAAAGATCTGAACAGACGTTTTACCTGTGAAGATATATGGAGACAAGTAAGCACATAAAAAGATCATACACATAATCTGTCATTAGGAAAACACAAATTAAAAACACGAAAGACCACTACAAACCTTAGTAGAATAGCTTTGATAAAAGCCACTGACAATACCAAGTGCTGACGGGGAACAGGCGCTCCCACAGATGCTGGGGAGAATGCACAGTAATACCAACCCTTTTCACAAATCCTTACAGGAAATCAAAGAGGAGAGAGAACACTTCCCAGCTGGTTTTGCTATGCCAGTTTTACCCTGATCCCGCCAAAAACATCACCAGGAAACCACACACTGATCTCTCTCATGAACACAGATGGAAAAATTTTAACAAAATATTAGCAAGTCAAATAGCAACATATAAAAAGGATGATACTCCACATGCAAGTGACACTGATCCCAGGAATACAGAGTGGGTTGTAAACCTGAAAATCAGTTATGTGATAGAACCTACTAAGAGAACAAGGTCAAAAACTCTATGATCCTCTTAACCTCCACTGACTAAAGGTCACTGAAGAGCTTGGAAATGCTGTTGTTATTTTACATTTGTCCCACAGTGTTCACTTTGTTCACTAACTGCTGCTCAAGAAATACTGAGTACGTTCTGCTAGGCACTGACACAGACACACAAAAACAAAATAACCCCATGATCTCACACACGGGTACACAGTTAACAAGAAAAACCAACTCTGCCCCAGTACTCAGAAACACACAAAAAAAGGACCGTCTCATTCCTATTCTGAAGTCACAGAGGCAAATTTTAAACTGGCAACTAAAACTAAATCACACTGTGGTTGCCAATATGTCTGGAAATAATTTTATAGGAATACTGTATCTACTCTTTCTTTTTCCCGACTACCTCTCTACAAAACATGACCACCTTTAAAACCCTTACGGTACAACGTTTGCCATTCTTACTGAAAAACATCGGGGAGGTAAGAGAATCCCATACCTTGTGGGGCGCAAGAATCCTCTGCCTGAACTTTTCAACAGTTTCTTGACCCATAGAAGACCAAGCGTTGCCAAACGCTTCTGCTTTGTCCGGTCTGAGATGAAGGGCTTCTAACTGCTGCTGCAAAGCGGCTGGCTTCACGGTGTGATACACCGCCTATGCGAGAGAAGGAGAGCGAGCACATATAGCCCCAGTATTGGATTGTAACCAAACACAAAACAATTTTTAAATGATTTAAATCAAAAGAATAGCACCTATTTCTACGGTAGATTTTTTTTTTATTTTAGCAATAATGATATACACAACTGGAAGATGCAGGGCTACCCTTCTCCATTTTTGCCTGTGTTTTAAGTAATCCTAAGACCACTTAATGGAAAAACTTCTTCTCTGCTTTAGCTATGGAAATGGTGCCCTAATTAAAATATCATCTCCTTATTTCACTTAACGATTTCAAAGAAATGTCTCAGGGCCCCTGAGTGGCTCAGTCGGTTAAGTATCTCCCTTGGGCTCAGGTCATGATCTCAGGGTCGTGGGATCGAGCCCTGTGTTGGGCTCCACGTTCAGCAGGGAGTCTGCTTAAGATTCTCTCTCTCCCTCTGCCCACCCCCATGCTCTTTCTCTCTCTCCCAAATAAATAAATCTTTAAAACAAACAAACAAAAAAGAAATGTACCACAAAAATTTTTCCAAGAAGCACTTTCTCAAAACTACCTTCATCTACCAACTTCCTAGGTAATGTATAATAAAATCTTATAAACATTTCTAATAACATCTGTTCTTTCTTAACATCATTCTGGAACAACTTTCTCGTAAACCCCATGTTGCTCTGTCCTACTTGATTATCCTTTACTACTACTGAAAACTCCCAGGGTTAAGAACAGTAGTCGTCTTTATGATCCGCAATGTGTACAAGGCTGTATGGAGTAGATGCCTGGGAGCTTGTCCTCCTACCAGCACCTGTTCACTGGAAGGCTCATGAAGCTACAGTACCATTTAAACTTTTATTTCACAAATATTCTACCAAGTCAACCTTCAGGAATTTACAGAGACCCTGTTTTAAGCGCAGCAATGTGCTAGGTTTATAGAAGATGAGCTAAAGATATGATAGGTCCCTCACAAATTCAAAAGCTAGGGAAGGTTGACACACAGGAAATGATGAAAGACTAACGATGTGCTCCACTCTGACGAGCCAAGGATAAAAGGCATCCAAATTAGGGGAAGACTGCCAAGTGTAAGGGTCGTGGCGGCAGTGAGAGGAGATGGGACTTGAACAAAAACTTAATGTGCTGAACACAGACAAAAGCAAGGGAAGCAAAATGGCGGCTCAGTAGGAAGAACTAGTATGACAAAAGGCCTTTGGATAACTACCTCTCTTCTAAATGTTTTATTTATCATCCTAGTTAAAGAAATCCCCCAAAATCATTGATTAAAGTTCTTGAATAAAAGGTGTTCGTTTCTCCAAGTTATCATACCAAGTAACAACAAATAAAATGTTTTATACCCATCTCAAGTCAATGAAGTCCTTTTTTTTTTTAAGATTTTATTTATTTGAGACGGAGAGAGAGAGCATAAGCAGGCGGAAGAGCAGAGGGAGAGGGAGAAGCAGACCCCTGGCTGAGCAGAGAGCCCGATGTGGGACTCAGTCCCAGGACCCTGAGATCATGACCTGAGCTGAAGGCAGACGCTTAACCAACTGAGCCACCCAGGCGCCCTCAAGTCAATGAAGTCTTGATTCATGCTGTCAAATACTTTACTCATGCTACTCAACATTCACATTCTTTTGAAGAATGCAATACTGTAGGAAAAAACCCATACATTCGATGTTTTTTTTACTACATTAAAATTCTCAATTAGAATATATTCATAGCTTCCATCTGTATACTCTTTTTTTTAAAGATTTTATTTATTTATTTATTCGAGAGAGAGAATGAGAGAGAGAGAGCATGAGGGGGGGAGGGTCAGAGGGAGAAGCAGGCTCCCCGCTGAGCAGGGAGCCCGATGTGGGACTTGATCCCAGGACTCCAGGATCATGACCTGAGCTGAAGGCAGTCGCTTAACCGACTGAGCCACCCAGGCGCCCTGTATACTTTTTTTAAAGAAATAAAATATTAGACCTATCATAGCAGTACAAATTTGCAGTAAACAAACCATGGTTAGGAAGTTCGGGGCACTCAGAATACCTGTTCTAAAATGAACGATATTATTTCAAGAACTAGGCGAAGATCTTGTTTCTCTAGAGAAAATGCAGCCTGAAGTTTTTCTTCTTCTTCTTCACTGAAACTGTTCTCAGCCTACAACATAAAAAGCAAGCTGTTAGCACACGTTCAGGTATTCAAAACTTAGATACTCGACACAAGAGTCCCTGAAGATTCATGTATTCATACATGGATGAGAAGCAGAAAGAAAAAGTGAATCCAGGGTGAAAGAAACTGATGTGTTTCTAAATTTCAATATCTCAAAATCACAGTACAATTCGGTATTTGGATCATGCCAAATCAAGCTCACTGTAAATAAAAAAATATTTTAAGTTCTATGATTTACAGGAGGTGGAAATTAATAGTAAATACCAAAAGAAATGGACATTTAGAAAAAACAATACTAGAAGATAAAACCCCAAAATGTTAACAATAATTAATACTAATGTCCATCTTCCTCAAATATATTTACTGAGTATTTACTATGTGCTACAGAGAAAGACTGTTCATGTCCTCACGTACACAATACTCTAGTTAGAAAGGCATCTAAAAACAAATAGTTATTCAAGTAATTTTCATTTCGAGGAGTTCCGCAAAAATGTGGGTTATTACAAGAGCATCTATAAAGCAGGAAATTAAGTTTTTTATAATTTTAATATATATTGTCCAAAACTTCCACATTATGCACATTAATTTTATAATCAATATATCAAAGAAGATAGTTAGCCATCTGAGTAGAACCTGTGACTAGTCTCCTTTCTTTCATATCCAAAATAATCTCCTTGATCTAAAGACACTGGTTTTAAAGTAGGAAAAATGTACACTACTAGAACAACTTTAAAATAAAAATAACTACTCTATCAACACATACTAAAAACACCTTTCCCTACAGCTGCCTCCGCCTAACAGCAATATGGAGAAATTTCAGAAGTTCCACAAGTCCCTGCCTTGACAGCTTAGGATGATGTACACCTACATGGCTGTTGAACCAAAGCAGCATCGGAACTTCAGCTAGCGTATTTTGGGAGGCCAGTCATCAGAACTAACAGCCCCTACTACCTGTTTTACGACTAAGAAAATCATGAACCTAATTTGGCCAAAACGCCCATCACTTACCTCAAGAGCAATGTTTTGACTTAAAAGTTTCAGAATTTCTGTGACTACCATACATCTTCTTGAAATAATGACCTATGGTACCAGAGTTTACCAATATGAGGAATATAATAACAGTATTATGTATACATATATATAATCACTGAACCACATGTTCCATTAAATTCAATGGATATTTATAATTTAACTTCCAAGTTAGTCACTCTGATTCCTTTTAACATACATCAAATAAGCTGCTTTGACAAAATAGTGATAGTGACTGAGCAGGTAGAAAAATAAACTTCAGTGTCCCCAATATGTGTAAGGAAGGGAGATTTTTTAAAAAGATACAGCAAAAAAAAGAGAGAGGGAGACATTCTCAAGATTTTCAAGGGCATTATATTAATAAAGTGGTTTAGAGTGAAGGGGTACAGGGAGTATTTATCTTCCCCCATCCACTGGAACACCAGGCATGCAACCTTAGAATAAGGTGGAGCTTAAAATACGGGAGCAAAAGAGCACACAGAGAATACAGCTGTACACAAAATTCCAAACATAGAGTCAACACCTTGCTCCAGAAACAACCTTGGGTAGATAAATACCTCTATTTGCTTCCACAAAAGCAGCAATTTCACTTATTTCTGTCTACCAAAAGCAACCCACACATATCTAGGAGTAAAACAGAAGGTAAAGGAGACACATTCTTTTTTATCCTCTCAACGGGAAAAAAATTAAGGCCCAGGTTTATAAAATTAGGGAGCAAGTGTCCAAGAAACTTAAATTTTAAAATGAAAAATGAAGGTGCCTCGTTAGCGCAGTAGGTAGCATGTCAGTCTCATAAAATGAAAAATGATTTTTTTCTACATGTTTAAAGAGAGTAGGCCATAAATATATATATATATACACACACACAAGCAGAAATGAAAAACAACACATAAAGAATACAAGGTCGTACTACATGGATTCACATGAAATGATCTCTGATAAAAGTGGTAAGTAAAGGAGGTATATGAAAACATACAAACTACACATTCCTATGTGTATGGACGTGTGTATGCATATCTGTATTTATTAACACATGGAAAAAGATGGAAACATGGAAAAACCAAATTGGTAACAAAGGCTACCTCTGGGAAGGTGTGGTGGTTTTATGATACCTGAAAAATTCTTTAGCACTCCTCCCTTCAAAAGATGGAGCCTAATTTCTTTCCCTTGAATGTGATCCAGACTTAGTGACTTACTTCTAACAAGAAGAATATAATAAATGTTGAAGCTATGTGGTATCCCAGGCGAGGTCATAGAAAGGACACACCTCCCTCTCCTGGATCACTGGTTCTGGAAGAAGCCAACCTCCAAGTCGGGAGGAGAGGCTTGAGTAGCAAGGTACTGAGGCCTCCCACCATGTAGCCATACTGGAAGGAAATCCTCCAACCCCAGCCAAACCTTCAGATTACAGCAGCTCAAACAATATCTGACAGCAACCTCATGAGAACCCTGAGCCAGAACCACCCAGCGGAGCCACTCCTAAATTCCTGACCTACAGGGACTATGAGTATAATAAATGTTTATTGTTTTAAGGTGCTATGTTTTGGGGTAATTTGTCACTCAGCAATAGATAACTAATACAGGGGAGAATTAAGATGGAAGGAGGGCCAAAGTTAGCCAAGGGCACATTTCAGTTTGCCATACTACTTAAATTTCTTAAACAAAAACTTATTCATAAACTATGAAATTTAAAACATGTTATTAAGATGCTTAAATTAAGCAGTCTAAGAATTTTGAACTAGAAGGGCACAAAAAAAGCAAACAAAAAATTCATTCTTCCAACTTTTCTTTTTTATTTTTTTTTTGAAGAACTAATTTTCTTAATATGCATGATGAGTGAACTAACCTTAGTTTCACATATAGTAGAAATCAGGTCACATTCCTTAGAAAATGAGAGATGTCCCCTATTCTATGAAGATAGCATATTATCTAAACAATTACAAAAGCAATTAGATTTTAAAAACTCAGAGCAAGGATTTAGAGACAGAGAGGCCTGCTGTCCAGAGCCCAAGCTATGACTCACATCCACAGTCATACATACACACAAAGACCTCCATGAAAGAACGCACAGTACTAGTATTCTGCAAATACCATAATTTAAAGTGTGTATATATATTCTTACCCAATAAAACAATGTGTAAGAAGCCTTTCATCTTATATTAACTACAAAATAAATGTATTTATTGGATAAACTATCCCTTTCTTTTTGGTCCTAATAGGCAGGACAAATGCTCCTTTGTGCACAACTCTCCTGCACACAAGACATTTAAAGTCACGGGCATTAAATGCCAGCAGCAGCCTCCATATGTTGTAACAACCAAGAAAAATTGAGGCATTTCTATAGGCTGGGGTTCACACTTGTGACTGTCCTTTATGTTAACATAATGAGATTTCGCTGTGTGTCATAATGGGGGAAAAGAGAGGTACCCACAAGTGAATCTATCAAATAAAAGATCTTTTATTTTAAACTTTGAAAGCAATCTTTCTGAAATGTATAGCACCCATTCTAGACTTTCATAAACACAATATATCGGATTAAACTCATTTCTTATGATAAGTCAGGTCACAATTATGAGCATCAGAATTCTGTGGTATAGTATCATAAAAAACGCCTAAGGCACACTGATGATTTTTCATTTCAGAAAAAATCCCTCAGATCTCTGGGCATTTCAATTTCTTGTGTCTAATTTTCATAATTCTCTCACTTCATTCCATGATCAGCCATCGATTCCTGAAACTGTCTACATGCCCATCACAGGCGTTTCTTCATCCCCGAGTTGGCTGGGTCTAGTCTGCCATGGTCCAGAGAGCTAATCTTTCAGAATGAGATATACAGCACAGTTAGATCAACAGGCTTTGTGTGATGACCTATAAGTCTTTCCAGTGGAGCAAAGTACATGAGTCTTTTTAATTGCATGAGTTGTGAAAGCCATTTTTTTTAACTCAGAGGCCATAAATTGTTATCTCTAAGTCCTCAGCTATGGAAGTTACTCTGACTTCTGTCAGTGTTTTCCAGTGCAGACTCTTTTAGGATGCTGGACAAGGCAATTTGGGCAGGACCATTCCGCACATTGCAAGACATTTAGTTCCTGGGCATTAAATGCCAACAGCAGCCTCCACGAATTGTAAAACCCCCCCCAAAAAAGCTTCCTGAGTATTTCTATATGCTAGGATGAGCCGGAAGATGACCAGTTCAAAGAGGACTCCCAGACTCATGCTGAGACACATCCATATTCTATACCTCAGCTTACTTTCCGTATGTTTATTCCAATTAGGGAATCCAAGGAACCAGTCTGGACCAAAACAGATATCCTCTGCCCATAAGCAAATTAAAGTGTCAAGCTGATAACATTTAGAACAGCAACCCAAACCTAAAACTCCTCACCCATCTACCCATGCCAGGTTTCACTGTTCTAAGGGCTCTGCTTGTCTCCAGGCAAAGGCCCACTTAACAGACCAAGAGTACATAAAAGAAAGCTGGCAGACCCTGAATGTCACTGCAAACTTTATTTGATAAGCACTCTTATCACAATAGGAGCCCCTCTAGAAGAACATTCCCTGAAACTGTCCAGGAAAAAAAAAATTTGCACCTTTCCTTTCTTTCTTAGCAGGCAAGTTATCACCTACATATGTTTTTGTTCTCAGTTGCTTCAGCTGTCAACAACCTCACCTTCTCATGTCCACTCCCCTACCACTGACAGCATCGCATTTAAGCACCTCTGTGGAATGCTCTGGCCACCCACTTACTCTAAGATAGACACGAACTTATTCACAGCTCGATTAGATGGAGAGGGTCAAAGACAAACTGCGTATCACAGTTTTCCTACAAATGTCCTATCCTCCCTCACTATAAAGAACAAAAGATGTATCTAAGAGCTTTTTGTCCCATGTTGTTTAATAAGTGTAAGAAGGCAGCCATCAGCTCAGGGAATCAAAGCAGAACTTCTGTAGTGATTGCCTACATCATTCACTTTTAGACTAATTTATATACTTTTCTGTACTCTTTCCTGAGGTTTACTGTAATGGGTTAAAGGAATGGATTCTGGAAACATACCTTGGACAAATTATTTAACTGGTTTCCATCTCAGTTTCTTCGTGGATAAAGTAAGGATGACAATAGTACCTACTTCCTAAAGTTGCTGTAAGGATCAGATGAATTAATAATACAAAGCCATTAGAACAGTATCGGAGGGAGCAATGTAGCTGTGAATCACAAATACCACAAATGCAGCTGCTTTTAGCTTGTTGTGGTAGTTCTTCCTGTCTCTCCATCTGTATCACAGATTCCTTATAGCCAGGAATTTAGAGGACCTGCATTTGTTTTGTGTTTTCCATGCAAGGCAAAGAATTAACTCCAAGAATAGCTCTTGAGCGCCCACTGCATAAGCACCAAGGTATTAGGTATGGGAAATGTAAAGATAATTAAAACATGACACTCAAGGTATTCAAGGTCAGCGAAAGACCTTGTCATCATAAAACAAATACTTACGATGCAGTACTAAAATGAGGTGACAATGAACTGACTGTTTTAGAAACACAAAAAAAACTGCTGAGAGCAAGAGGGCCAAATCCTTGAAAGATGCATAGTTTTTTTCACTATAGAAGGGAAGACATTGCAGGTAAGGGAGACATAGAGCTGGAAGAGTTCACAGTATGTTCTAGCAAAAGAGCACAGTCCAGTGTGACTGGAGCACTTGCAAAGTGGGAATAATATAGCTTGTGGCCATATTATACTGTTATTATAAGGTGATTATAATATAATACAGTGTTAAAGATTTTGAACTTTTTCCCATGGCACAATGGGAAGTCAATGATGGCTTTAAACACTGTACAGATAAGATCAACTGGGGGTTTTTTGTTTTTTAGGAAAAAAATATTTGGAGAGATAAATGGACTAGCATTATGAAGCAGCGACAGGAGGGAGAAGACTTTCGGCAGAGACACCAGTTTGAAGGCAGTTACTGTAGTCTACGGCAGGGATGTTAAAGATCTGAACCAGGACTATGAAGAGAACTTGGATTTAAGGGACATGTCAGGGGAAGAAAGGGCTCAGAAGGGGGCTGGCTCCCAGGAAAAAGAAGAGGAAAGGGTCCAGGTTCTCCAGGTGTGCTAAGAAGTGCTGGATCACTACACTGTACACCTGAAACTAATATTACACTGCATGTTAACTAAGTGGAATTTAAATAAAAACTAAAAAAAGTCCAGGTTCTCATTTAATGGTGATGCCCGGCACCACCAGGCAAGAGCAGTTACTAGTTACTAGGTGCACCATCAACATGTGTTGGAAGGAATTCAATTTTTATAACCTGACTCAGAAGTTAACTTAGAATAGTGACGGAGCCGTGAATCACTAAACACCAATGTGTCCAAAATAACCACACCCTTGAAATAAAAGAAGAGGCAGATTAAATGAAAGATTAAATACTGGGTGCTGGCAAAACCACAGCATTATTTTAAGAGGAAGAATGAAATCAGAATTTTCCCAAAGCATGTTACACAGAACCTGAGTCCCAAAATATATACCACGATACCACAGTTCCAAGGTCAAACACGTTTGGAAAATCTTGTACCTCATATTCACCCTTAAATATTTACTGTAAACACTACTATAAAATGCACTCTGAAAAAAATATATATAATATATACATTCTGAAAAGTTCCATAATAAAAAAGATTAACTTTAATGAAAAGAGAATTTCCCAAACTTTTGACCATGGGACATCACAAAATGTTCTAGAGAGCCAAGGACACGCTGGAGAACACTACACTTCAGAAAAAGTTTTTCAAGTAGAAACAAAGAGTTTCAGGGCAATCACAAGAAATCACATGAAAGTATAGAAACTATAGAAATGCAAAAATACAAACCTTCAGGTGAAGTTTTTGAAGAATTCGGGTGAGCAATCGTGGAAATCTTCCTATATCTATTGCATTTATCAGCGACACTGCTTTTTTCATGCTAAATAAATGTGTAAAACAAAATTTTAAAATGAGTTTTCCAAGTGGAACTGTTCCTGCCGTAAGTACACTTGTCTACAATTGCTATTGTCTCAAAGGTTCCATTTCGACAACTCTGATTGCTATGAAGAAGAACAGATGATGGCCAGCAGAGGCAGGACATTTCCAAAAGATGCCTCCTAAAAATACTTCTGCATCTGGCAGTTTCCCTTTTTTGGGGGGGCAAGGTGAGCTACTAGAGGAAGTTTGCACTCTGTGAGGAACGGCATTAACTCTGCAGTGAATATTCAATACCCACCTAACCCACAGAGGAACTACGGAAAGACTGGCAGGAGGAACGTGACAATGACACCAAAATACAAAGAAAAGAATGCTGCATGGCAGATAACGGAATATATATGTGTGTGTTTGTGTGTGTGTATACGTATATATATAAAACATAAAATCATTTGGGGTAACAGTACACAGTTGTTTTAAAACCGTGATTCAATGGTAAAAATCAACTTTAAATTATACTACTGGTTATGGCTTACTGATGTGGTGAGTGTTAACCAGGACACTGATGTGACCGGAGGAACTGGCCATCAGAACTTAAGGCATCCAGAAAGAAGGAAAAACTTTGAAATGACAACTCTCTTCTTCAAGATTCCTGCCCAATTCAGGGACAAGGAAGTTACTTTCCAACTTCAATTATTCACCGGTAGACCTCAGCACTTTTTCCGCATCCGCACACTACCTGCACTAGTATTTATTTTTCATGAAACTGGAGTCATTTCTATTTAAATAACTGCATTTTAGGAGAGAACTTTGTATCACCACCCTGGGCAGCCGACCTTACCTACCATAAGCAGAAATGAACTAAAAATAAATAAAATGAAATCAAAAGCCATGTTACCAAATTCTGGCTAGGAACTGTGACCCCCAAACTCCCGGCCTGAGGACTATTCCACCTGGATTGAAAAGGGGATACTGACTCGTGCTGGGGATTAACGACCGTCCGGCACCACTGCGAGCCTTTCTCATAGCCAGGCCTGAGAGCGAGCCGGAAACAGAGAAAGGGCAGAGCTTTGCACGGGATTCAGCACTACTCCAGGCAGGCGTGGGTCCTTCAGATGCCACACTCTTGGGAACGGTGACACACGCCACACACCGTCCTACTGACCCCGGCGGCCAGGCGCACCGGAGCCCCACGGAGGCGAAGCGCCTACCGGGTGAGACGCCCACAGCCCCCGGCGCTCCTGCGGGGCCGCACCGCGATTTCGCCAGCCCCGCGCCCACCCCCTCGGCCGGGCCCCGCCTCGGAGCCAAGGCGACAGCCAGCAGAGGCGTCCTGGCGCAGCCCCGCCCGCGCCACCCCTGGCGGCTACCTGGGGCTCTCCGGCAGGATCAGCGCCGTGGGGGCCGCCATCCTCGAAGCTCCCACGCCTGCCGCCGCCGGTCAGCTGTCTCCAGCGCAGCCAATGACGGCGGGCCTACGGAACGGCGGAAGGCCCAAGCCGCGCCGTCTGTGCGGCCCGCCGCGGGACCGAATCGTGTCCCGGGTCCTTCCCGGGAAAGGGAGCCTCCTCGTTGTCCTCCCGCCACTGTCACCGTTCTGCTCTGCCTTAAGCCTGTTTGCATATTTTAACTTACTATATTTATCTATTTATATTATACATTATACATTATTATACATGCTCAGCTGACCCTTGAGGAACTAGCGGTTAAGGTTGCCCGCCCTGCCGCAAGTCAAAAAATGCACGCGTAACTTCTAACTCCCCCAAAACTTAAGTACTAACGGGCCCCTGTTGACCCGATGCCTTGCCTTACCGATAACGTACTCGATGGACTCGTGTATGCCATATTTATCACATACTATATTATTACAATAAAATAAGCGGAAGTAAGCTAGAGGAAAGAAAATGTTATTAAGAAAATCCTAAGGAAAATACACGACAGTGCTGGACTGTATTTATCGAAAGAATCCGAGCATGAGTGGACCTGCACTGTTCACACCTGTGTTGTGCCAGGGTCAACTGTACATATATCTGGATATGGATATGTATTTTTATGTCGTCGGCATGTATAAACATATATTTAGGTGCGTGTACCTATACATACACCTTTTTTTTTTTAAAGGAAAGTTTAAGTACCCCACCGCAGCCAGTGACTATCCTGTGCGACAGAGGGGCAGGCAGTGGAAAGCTCTCCCCAAAAGCAGCCCGGGGATGTCACACATCCATCCGCAGGAGAGGTCATGTCACCAGCTCCAGCCTTGGCACTGTGCTATCAGCCCTTCCCGTATCTGTATCCCTGTATTCATTGAGCACCTACTGTATACCAGATACTGTGCTAGGCACTTGGGATACAAAAGACCAAAATTCCTGCCCTCAGGGTTTGCCGGCAGTTCAAATGGACAAGTTTCATTGCGCCCCTCTGCTGTCTGGTGCTGAGCTAGGTACCGCTTAACAGGGGGGAGTCATCCCGGCAGAGACTGCCACTTAGAATCTCACAGTAGAGCAAGGACCCAACGTGGGTTCACGAATACCTTTGTATGCCTCAGAGAAAAACATGTAGGGCATTCCAGGAATTCAGAGGTGAAAAGAGTGGTAAAACCCCAGGGGTAGGATCAGGAAAACTTTCTGTTGCAGGTGGCATGAGGTCTTGAATGATAGATTACGGCAGGTGCCCTTGAGCTAGTGAGAAATGGGCAGTCATTAATGTTTTCATGCAGAGAAATTTTTGTGATGAGAGCCGCTGTTCTTTTTTTGTCTTCTTTTTGGTATTTGTCTTTTGAAGCTTACTGTCAGTGGAATGATGATTGGATTGGAAAGAGGTAAGCAGAAAGTCAAACAGGGAACTATTGCAATAATCTATGGAAAGCAATAAAACCCTGTGGTAGTAAAATAGCTTTGGAGAGTGGGAAAAAAATAGCAAGTGAGTTAGCGTTACATTTCAGCTGTAGAATCTTCGGGAGCTGGCAAAAGATTGAATTTAATTTTCTTACCTAATTATGTTTTACTTAAATTATTATTTAAATTAGTTGACATTCCTAGAGCAGCCCCAAAAACATCCTAACTGAAAGGAGAAGCCAGATTGCAAATTAAAAGTGAATAATCCCCACATGGATAATTGAGTCAATTATACAGTGTGTTGAACACATACAAATACATTTAATTCCACAACACTCCACACACTCCCCAATTTGTGCAGTATCTGAAAAAGATGTATGTGAATCTACATAAATTATAGGTCTCTGATACAAACACAGATTACTTTACCTGGCATAATTTTAGAAGGGCCCCAGTTCCCTCGACTTCTGAATAATTTCCCTTTGTCTTCATTCATTGCCTGAAGTAGGGCCACTAACCAGCTAAAACCATTTGGAATCTCTAGTGAAATTTACCTCCTCAGTTCCTTCGCAACCATAGCTGGGATTTTGAGCAAAAGGGCATCAGGATTTTTCGAGCCCTGAATCCATGTAACCTGGAACAAAGCACTTTACCTCCCTTAAATTTCTTACTCCTGATCTGTAAAATGGGAATGGGAATAATGTGTGTTCGCTCCCCTGGGCTGTGGTAAGAATTAAACAGTGTGACGTGTGTAAGGGAGAAGCACTCTCCCCTCCTTTATAACACAAAGCATAGACTTCCAAGGTTTTAGCCAAAAAGTCTCCAGGATTTCTCTTAATTTCTCTTAATTTCTTCAAGTACTGGTACTTGTTGCTATAAAGGCTTGAGGCAGAGAATAATTTCACCCCTTAGGTGAGACCCTCACCCAAAATATTTCTGTGGTCTCTGGTTCCATATGGATCCATGGAAAAGTCCTTTGTAGTTGTCTACCTGTGGCCACCTGCTAGAGATAGGATATGTACTTCCTGGAGACACTGTTCCATAGCACACTTTGCCCCTAACCCTCAGACTTGTCAACCCATCTTGCTGATGGATCCAGAGCCCAGATCAGCTGCCCCTGATCTGTTATGGCTATGAAACATTCTGAATGCCCCCAAATTTCTTCCATATCCTTGCCTTCATTACAACTTTTGCCAAATCCAACTTTTTTCTTTCATTCTGTGTTAGCCTGGGTTCTCTAGAAAACAGCCTGAGTTACATGCTAGTGCATCCACGGGGACTGTCATTGTAGGGAATTAGGAGTGAGTGCAAAAGGGAAGGAAGGAAGGAAAGGAGCGAAGCAAATACAAGATGGTGTGTTATCCAGCTGGTTACAGATTGAAAACCTGGTCTATTTCTCAGCGCTGTGATATTTCCAGACACACTATTTTGAGGTACTGTGTCTTCAAACAGCCAAGAGGTGGGAGTGAGCAAATTTGTCTGCAGACTCTTTCCAACCTTCCGTCTCTTGTTGATCAAAATTTGTCCCATGGCTCAAACCTCCCCTGGACTCACAGGGTATATCCCCTGGCACCTGTAGGCATTCACTGGAAAATCTAGAGTAGGATCCGAGTTCCAAACCTGTAGGAGAGGCAAGCTCAGGGCACAATCCCTGCCCATCCTTCTCTCCAGATGCTCCTCTCCCACCCACCCACCCCCCACCTGCCAAGGATGGCAGCAAGCAGCAGGGGCTTTAAGACCAACAGTTCAAAGTTCCCAGGGGCCCCTTTATTGGGAAACTTGAACAATGCACTGCCTGAGATGCAGTGAGGCTGAGCATATCTGGAGAGGTACATCACTCAGAGAGAGTTTTACACCTTGGGTGGAATCTCACCTGAAGAGTTGCTTGAGCCTTGAATTTTTTAGCTCTTTGGTGATGCAGCCTTTTTAGTTCACATATGCCTGGTTGTTTTACCAAAGTCTACAACAGCACAGGTTGGAGTGAGGTCCACTGTGTCCTGGGAGCTAACACTTCCTTCTGGGCATGACCTTTGTCCTGTTTGGAGCCTGCCCCTCTGGGTGAGTTCCTTCTCAAGGGCCCCATGGCCATTTCCTGCAATATAGCCTGCACCCACTCTCTCTCCACTAGGCATGATTTATATCTTTGACACTCAATGAAGTAGATACAAGATCTGAGCCTTGCTGATCTCCAAAGTCTCCACCAACACATAAGTAAACCCTGGGTGCATTTACAATGCAAATGGTTATATTTGGAGGAAGGGTAACACCTACTCACCCAACAGACTAGTATCTGAGCCCCAGGAACCCAGTCCAGCTGGGACAAACTTGTAAGTAAGCCCTTGATATATATTGTCAAACTGGGGGGTATAGGCATTTTATTATGCACCCAGAGTATCCTGGAAGTGGGTTAGCTAAGCATTTGGCCCAGGTCCTTAACTCTGTGAAAGTCTGTAGTCCTACAACTCATCCTGAGTTTCTCAGGTGAACTATCAAAGGTAGCTGAGAGTCACATAGGGTGGAGGACTAGAGCTATATGCTACTCACTGCCCTATCCCAGACAACTACAAATACAAAATTCACATTCAGCTGCTTTGTTGCATTCTTTTGCAGAAGCCATCGGCCCAGTTTTTCTCCTCCTCAACACCACACGGAACACACACCTCCCCCTCTCCACACCAAGCCTCGGTCACAGTTGTGAGCCCTGTTTTTAGCTCTCTAGTCAGCACTTGCCTCATAGGTGTGAGGGAATCAGCTGGAGTGGAACTGAAGAACACCCTTCTAGATGAGAAACATGTAATTGTTCCTTCCACATTTTCTCCGTCAGTTCTCAGGGGAATGAAGTTTCAAAATTGCATATTTTTATTTATGAGTCGGTTATATGACTGTTCCTGTTTGGTGTGAGATACATCAGGAATAAAGAATGCATGAGCATCATCTGTTCTCTGAGTATTTGCACACGAGGCTGTGATGGGGAAAGGAAGTGAGAAACTTAGGAAAAAAGGAAAAGAGAAGAGAAGAGAAAAGAAAAGAAGGAATAGCATCAAGCCACATTTGCTGATAACAAAGAGTATTAACCAAATGGAGGGTGGGCAAGGGTATGGGAAGGAAACGTTTATTATAAAATGTGACAGGGGCGCCTGGGTGGCTCAGTCGTTAAGCAGCTGCCTTCAGCTCAGGTCATGGTGCCAGGGTCCTGAAATCGAGCCCCACATCGGGCTCCCTGCTCAGCAGGAAGCCTGCTTCTCCCTCTTCCACTGCCCTGCTTGTGTTTCCTCTCTCACTGTGTCTCTCTCTGTCAAATAAATAAAATCTTTAAAAAAAAATAAAATAAAAAAATAAAATGTGACAAATATATACTTTGTGATACATGAACAGATCCCTTTCTGATCTATTCTTCAAGTTGAAAACCATCTCAAATTATCACCCCTCCATTTTAATTTGCACCTAGTTTCCTCCATTCTACTTCCCCCAGGCCTGTGCCATTAACAGGACTGATATTTACACATAAGACGTGTGAAAGATTAAATGGTTTCTTCAGTAATTTCCACCAGTGAACACAGTTGGAAAATAAGTTGATGGCGCTTCCCACATGTATTGCAT